CCCCTCCCAAAAAAAGACCTCGGTCTGGATGGGTTCACGGCCACATAGTACAAAAATTACTCCGATCGGTTGATTCCACTGTTGCGCAAAACACTTAACTCCATCCGAGATGGTCACCTTTTTAGACCTGAATCCTTGTCTGCTACTGTGGTTAAGCTACCTAACCCTGACGTTGATAATTCAGCTCACTACAATTTTTGACCGATCTCCCAACTAAACATAGATGTGAAGCTTTTGGCTAGGATTTTCGCATCCAGCTTGAGTGTGGGGAGAGAAATAAAAATATAAATAGTACTGCTTATCAAAGCAGCTTGGAAACGTCAGATTCCTTTAATGCTTTTATCTGTTGATATTAGCAAAGCATTTTGATTCCCTCTCCCGGACTTAGCTCTTACATATCCTGCAAAGATGGGGGTTTGGACCTCATTTTCGGTCGTGGGTCTCAGCCTTATATTCCTCTCCTATCTGCTATGCAGGTTTCCATTCACCCTCTTTCCCGATATTGCAGAGTATGAGTCAGGGTTGCCCTCTCTATCCACTTCTCTTTGCTCTTGCAATTGAATCCCTGATGTTACGGGCATATCAATTGCTGGCCATCCATATAAAGTCAGTCTGTTCGCTGATCCATTCCTCACACTCTTTACCCACTTGTAGCTCTGCCTAATCACCATAGCCTCTTCTCATTTGGCACGCTATCCAATCTTAAGGTCAATCCGTCCAAGTCTAAAGCCCTTAATATATCCCTCCCGTTACCCCTCCTGCATGCACTTAAAAAAAATGTTTCACTACCACTGGGAAGCCACTAAACCTAAATACTTGTTTTTTTTTTCTTACAAACAATTATTCCACTCTATTTGAAGCCAAGTCCAATCTGTTTTCACTTACATGCACAGCTGGGCAACTGACCTGGAAGATGCATTGGTTGAGGATACCTGGAAACAGATTTGGGCTACCACGAAATCATGCTCTTGTAATTCGGCTGCAGCGGTGACAGACTTGACAGTTATATGTCGATGGTACATGGCACCCAGCCGCCTTGCTCGTGCCAATCTGGGCTATGCCCCTTATTGTTTTTGTGGCTGCTCTGCACGTGGCGATAATTTTCAAGTGTCTTGTACCTGCCCGATCTCCCAGAGTAATTGATCTCAGGTGAATGAACGGCTGTGTATACTTTTCCATAGATGGTCCGGACGCCAAGTGAAGCTTTGTGGAACGTCTGCCCAAATAATCTCTCTACGTACCAATTTGCTTTGTTACCACACGTGCTCACAGCCACACAAAAAGGAGATAGCCGGAGCTTGGCTTTCCGATAAACTGAACATCTCAGCCATCAAAAATAGATTCCACTGGGTTATGATCAACGAGAAACTGACTGCCAATCCACAGGGTAGACAGTCTAAAATGTCATAAAATCTGGGACCCGTGGGCTTCCAAATTTTTTGCCACATAATATTGATAAGTCCTTGCCAGGGCTTTGAATCCTGGAGGCTCCCAGCCAGCTATTAAGCTCTAGATCAGGGGCGCCCACTATTTTTCGTCTGGAGATCTACTTTTCAAATGACGAGCTCATTGAGATCTACCAACGAAAAAACACCTGCATTCAGGGGCGGGAGGGGGCGTAGGCTGCGCAGGCAGGCCCCTCGCCCACAGTGCGATCGCCTGCATTAGTGCCTGTGTTCCAGTCCAGTGCGATCCGCAAAAATGCTGCGAGCACTATTTTTGCAGATCGCAGTGGATGTGCCTGCGTTCCGAGTGCGGGCGATCCCATTGACTTCAATACAGCTCCACACCCCCTCCCGCACCGGAACGCAGGGAGTCGGCCTGCTTACATTCCAGTGCATTACAGGTCCCGGCGTCCTGTCCTCCCGTGGTGCTCGTGTGGCCGACGTTGCACATGGGGTGTCCTGCACCTTTCCATCTGCAGCGTCTGACACATTCAGCCGCACGAGCACCACGGGAGCATAGCCGTAGCCAGCTCCTTTTGCGCCTGTGGCAAGGAAAAAAAAACAAAAGTTTCTTAAAATTTACTATTTTTTATTTTTAATTTTAAATTTCCATAATTTTTTTTTTTCACTCTTGGGGGGGCTTTGGGGAAATATTAGGGGTCTAAAAAGCCCCCTGATATTTCCCTTTTAAAATAGAAAAAGAAATTGAGGACACAAAGTCCTCAATCTTTTTTTCTGCAGCCTCTATTCTAAATGAATGGAAAGCACAGAGGCTTCCCATTCATTAAGAAAATATTTTACTATCAAGCTGTTTCTGAATGGGGAGGAGCCTCTGTACAGAGTGCTTCTCCCCATTGAGAAACTTATGAATGAAGAGGAGGTGATGTAAATCACATCCTGTTCATTCATTTATAACTGGGGACACATAGTACTATGTGTCCCCAGTTATTTACAAACACTGGAGTGATCAGCCGATCGCTCCAGTGTTTGTCCTACACAGAGGATTGGTACATACTAGTGACATGTACCGATCCTCTGCCGCTCCTCCACGCACAGGGGGGCTGCAACTTCTCTGGATCCCCCTGCTCTCCTGGGCAGAGGGGGATACGACGAGCCGCTGTGACAGAACGGACGAGCAGTGAGGGGAGAGAGAGGCGCCGGCTGTCAGATCCTGGCCGAGCGTCTCTCTCTCTCCTCACTGCTCTGCATTAGTTAGTGACAGCGGCTCCGTCCTCCGCCCTCCCCCGGTTCCTTCACTTCTTCTCGGATCCCCGCTGGGGAGAGCAGCGGGGATCCAGGGAAGCGGCGGGAGGAGAGGACATGGCGATCGACTGGTAGATCGACCTTGTGGGCACCCCTGCTCTAGATGTTCCCCTTGGCCATCGTCCTATTTTCTCTTTACCTTCCCTCACTCACTTCCTGCTACTTACTCCTGATTTTTCGTCTCCTTTTTCTGTTTTCCTTCGATTCATATTTCCTATGGTTCGCACACCTATATATATATGCAACTTTTTGGGCGCTGATATGTTTAAAATTACCTGCTGCATAATGGCATTAAAAAGGAGAACTATGGGGTTAAGGCTTTTCCCCATAGTTCTCCTCAGGGTAACGGGAGGACACAAAACTAGCGTCCTCCCATCACTGAGACGCCACAGTATACCGCGAGCTACTGCTCGCGGTATTCTCCCCCCCCCCCCCCGAGCCGCTAGTCAGCGCTGGCGGATCAGAGCGGGGAGGGGGGAATCCTGCCCCTCCCCTGTCACGGCAGAGGGCTGTGACAGGATCGAGAGGTGAGCAAACGCCTGTATGTGTTCGCTCACCTCCCGATCTACTGAGCCGACCTGTGACAGTCTCATTGTCACAGGTCAGCTAGAACTATGGAGGTGAGTGAAAAGCACTCACCTCATAGTTCTCCTTTAAGACCTGTGGACAGATGACAGACAATCCTTTTTTTTTTAAATCTCTATGTATTAAGACGTTTAATTACTGTTGTTGGTTCTCTTGTTTTGTTCACAAAAAAGTAATAATTTTTTTTTATTCAATAAAAAGGCAACTTTGAAATTTATTACAGCAACAAGTCCAAAAAAGTTGGGACAGGGCAACAAAAAGCTGCATTGTAAGTGGTATTAACAAGGAAGAGCTGCAAGAACATTTTGCAACTAATTAGGTTAATTGCCAAAAGGTCAGTAACATAATTGGGTATAAAAAATAAAATAAAAAAGAGCATCTTAGAGAGTCAGTGTTTCTCAGAAGTAAAGATAGGCGGAGGTTCACCAATCTTTGAAAACCTGCATCTAAAAAGTTAACAATTTCAGAATAATGTTCCTCAACATAAAAATGCAAAGACTTAAAATATATCATCATCATCATCATCTACAGTACATAACAGCAAAAGATTATGAGAATCTGGGGAAATCTCTGTGGGAGAAACGCAATATTGGATGCCCGTGATCTTCAGGCCCTCTGACGGCACTGCATTAAATGCAGGAATTAATCTGTGATGGCATGGGCTCAGGAATACTGCCAAAAATCACCATGTCTGAATACAGGTCACCGTGCCATCCAAACATGCAAGTTAATGCTCCATCATGCAAAGAAGAAGCCATATGTGAACATGATCCAGAAACGCCGCCATCTTCTCTGGGCCAAAACCCATTTAAAATGGTCTGTTGCAAAGTGGAAAACTGTTCTGTGCTCACACAAATTGAAATTTGACATTCCTTTTGGCAACCATGGGCTTCACGTCCTCTGGACTAAAGAGGAGAGGGACCTTTCAGCTTATCAGCACTCCGTTCAAAAGCCTGCATCTCTGATGGTATGGGGGTGCTTTGGTACGTATGGAATGGGCAGCTTGCACATCTGGAAAGGCACCATCAATCCTGAAAGATATATCCAGGTTTTAGAGCAGCAAATGCTCCCATGCGGACGATGTCTTTTTCAGGAAAAGCCTTGCATATTTCAGCAGGACAATGCTAAACCGCATACTGCATCTATGACAACAGCATGGCTTCGTAGTAGAAGAGTCCGGGTACTTAACTGGCCTGCCTGCAGTCCAAACCTTTCACCAGTTGAAAATATTTGGTGCACCTTTAAACAAAAAATACGACAAAGAAAACGACAAAGAAAACCCAGAACTGTTGAGCGAGAATCCTATATCAGGCAAGAATGGGACAACATTCCTCTCCCAAAACTCCAGCAACTGGTCTCCTCATTTCCCCAGACGTTTACATAGAGTGTGTTAAAAGAAGAAATGATGCTACACAGTGGTAAATATGGCCCTGCCCCAACTTTTTTGAGACATGTTACTGCCATCAATTTCAAATTATCTTATTTTTTTTCTTCTTAAAATTGTAAATTTTCTCAGTTTTATTTTTAAACATTTGATATGTTTTCCATTGTGAATAAAATATGGGTTTAGGAGATTTGCAAATCATTGCATTCTGTCATGTAGATTTTATACAGCGGCTCAACTTCTTTTGGAATTGGGGTTGAACATTGTAGGTGTAAAATTCCCTCAAATATTATTTCCTGCTTCTGAAGTGACTCTGTGCTTCTCTTAGGCTGGCCATACATCTATCAATTTTTTTTCGTTCAGCCCGAAAAATGTACCCGATTCCTCCATCAACACACACAGCGTGTCGATCGAAGTACCCACTGTTTACATTGTATTCTGACAGGTGCAAATACCCAACCAGAGTGGGCAGCTCATTGACTGTCGGCTCTGATAGATTCTAGATTTTCCAGCCGGCTCCTTCGATCAGCTGATCGAGGAATGCCGGCTGCATTGAAAGGCACTGTGCAAATTTCGGCCAGTACATTAAAAATCGGCCGAAATTCGACCGGAGCCCTTTAGGAGTCTGCACTAAGTTACACAACACTACAACAGTTTAATTTTTGAGGAGATGTTCTAGTACTAACCATAGCCGGCTTGAATTTTGGCCATAGCCCACAGGTCAAACAACTCCCCCATCCACGCTAACAGTGTGGAAGGCAGTACTGTAGTCAGGTAGCAGTAGGATACACTCGCCCAATACTTTTCTACCCAGTTTAGCAGACAATTCAGGTGACTTGTGTAGTGCTGGATAATGCATGGTGGGTTATCCACAGCTCAAATGTTGGCCAATTCAGGGCTATCTATGGCCATCTTAAAAAGTTTAAGGAGAATGCTCAGATGGTTAAAATAGAGTAGATTTCTTTAAAAACAGATGGGGGGGGAAAAGAAAAAAAAAAAAAAGTTAAAAAAACTTGCAATGCATATATTTCAATAAAACTGTCATTTACATTTACGTGGATATCTCCTTGTAAAGCCAAAGTATTACAATTACAGAACTTACATTTGTTTTCCACTATAGATCAGCCTTTGCTGTTGTGGAGGAATTCCCTCCTTTTCCTCCACTCGCTCCTTAATCCTCTCCACCTTAAAAAGGACAGAAACATTAGTCCAAGTGCGAGTTCTCTCTCAACAATGACAAATCAAATAAACATGGAAAGTATCCAGCTATGACTGAGTTAGGGAAGAGTCATTGGTTTGATTGTTTTCAGTGCTTTTAATCTTTAAAGCAGAACTGTGGTCTCCTACATCATCTCAAATATGTGCTACAGCATCTGTTTTTATGGTTCTCTTAGTCCCCTACAAGGTCCCACAAATATATGTTGATCCTGCCAGGGAAGTCCACCGAATGCAGCTTTGTGTGATGTGGCAACAATGTTGCACTGCTCCAGAATGCAGAGCTACCACTCATGTACTTGCACTTAGGTGAGCAAACGCCTGTATGTGTTCGCTCACCTCCCGATCTACTGAGCCGACCTGTGACAGTCTCATTGTCACAGGTCAGCTAGAACTATGGAGGTGAGTGAAAAGCACTCACCTCATAGTTCTCCTTTAAGACCTGTGGACAGATGACAGACAATCCTTTTTTTTTTAAATCTCTATGTATTAAGACGTTTAATTACTGTTGTTGGTTCTCTTGTTTTGTTCACAAAAAAGTAATAATTTTTTTTTATTCAATAAAAAGGCAACTTTGAAATTTATTACAGCAACAAGTCCAAAAAAGTTGGGACAGGGCAACAAAAAGCTGCATTGTAAGTGGTATTAACAAGGAAGAGCTGCAAGAACATTTTGCAACTAATTAGGTTAATTGCCAAAAGGTCAGTAACATAATTGGGTATAAAAAATAAAATAAAAAAGAGCATCTTAGAGAGTCAGTGTTTCTCAGAAGTAAAGATAGGCGGAGGTTCACCAATCTTTGAAAACCTGCATCTAAAAAGTTAACAATTTCAGAATAATGTTCCTCAACATAAAAATGCAAAGACTTAAAATATATCATCATCATCATCATCTACAGTACATAACAGCAAAAGATTATGAGAATCTGGGGAAATCTCTGTGGGAGAAACGCAATATTGGATGCCCGTGATCTTCAGGCCCTCTGACGGCACTGCATTAAATGCAGGAATTAATCTGTGATGGCATGGGCTCAGGAATACTGCCAAAAATCACCATGTCTGAATACAGGTCACCGTGCCATCCAAACATGCAAGTTAATGCTCCATCATGCAAAGAAGAAGCCATATGTGAACATGATCCAGAAACGCCGCCATCTTCTCTGGGCCAAAACCCATTTAAAATGGTCTGTTGCAAAGTGGAAAACTGTTCTGTGCTCACACAAATTGAAATTTGACATTCCTTTTGGCAACCATGGGCTTCACGTCCTCTGGACTAAAGAGGAGAGGGACCTTTCAGCTTATCAGCACTCCGTTCAAAAGCCTGCATCTCTGATGGTATGGGGGTGCTTTGGTACGTATGGAATGGGCAGCTTGCACATCTGGAAAGGCACCATCAATCCTGAAAGATATATCCAGGTTTTAGAGCAGCAAATGCTCCCATGCGGACGATGTCTTTTTCAGGAAAAGCCTTGCATATTTCAGCAGGACAATGCTAAACCGCATACTGCATCTATGACAACAGCATGGCTTCGTAGTAGAAGAGTCCGGGTACTTAACTGGCCTGCCTGCAGTCCAAACCTTTCACCAGTTGAAAATATTTGGTGCACCTTTAAACAAAAAATACGACAAAGAAAACGACAAAGAAAACCCAGAACTGTTGAGCGAGAATCCTATATCAGGCAAGAATGGGACAACATTCCTCTCCCAAAACTCCAGCAACTGGTCTCCTCATTTCCCCAGACGTTTACATAGAGTGTGTTAAAAGAAGAAATGATGCTACACAGTGGTAAATATGGCCCTGCCCCAACTTTTTTGAGACATGTTACTGCCATCAATTTCAAATTATCTTATTTTTTTTCTTCTTAAAATTGTAAATTTTCTCAGTTTTATTTTTAAACATTTGATATGTTTTCCATTGTGAATAAAATATGGGTTTAGGAGATTTGCAAATCATTGCATTCTGTCATGTAGATTTTATACAGCGGCTCAACTTCTTTTGGAATTGGGGTTGAACATTGTAGGTGTAAAATTCCCTCAAATATTATTTCCTGCTTCTGAAGTGACTCTGTGCTTCTCTTAGGCTGGCCATACATCTATCAATTTTTTTTCGTTCAGCCCGAAAAATGTACCCGATTCCTCCATCAACACACACAGCGTGTCGATCGAAGTACCCACTGTTTACATTGTATTCTGACAGGTGCAAATACCCAACCAGAGTGGGCAGCTCATTGACTGTCGGCTCTGATAGATTCTAGATTTTCCAGCCGGCTCCTTCGATCAGCTGATCGAGGAATGCCGGCTGCATTGAAAGGCACTGTGCAAATTTCGGCCAGTACATTAAAAATCGGCCGAAATTCGACCGGAGCCCTTTAGGAGTCTGCACTAAGTTACACAACACTACAACAGTTTAATTTTTGAGGAGATGTTCTAGTACTAACCATAGCCGGCTTGAATTTTGGCCATAGCCCACAGGTCAAACAACTCCCCCATCCACGCTAACAGTGTGGAAGGCAGTACTGTAGTCAGGTAGCAGTAGGATACACTCGCCCAATACTTTTCTACCCAGTTTAGCAGACAATTCAGGTGACTTGTGTAGTGCTGGATAATGCATGGTGGGTTATCCACAGCTCAAATGTTGGCCAATTCAGGGCTATCTATGGCCATCTTAAAAAGTTTAAGGAGAATGCTCAGATGGTTAAAATAGAGTAGATTTCTTTAAAAACAGATGGGGGGGGAAAAGAAAAAAAAAAAAAAGTTAAAAAAACTTGCAATGCATATATTTCAATAAAACTGTCATTTACATTTACGTGGATATCTCCTTGTAAAGCCAAAGTATTACAATTACAGAACTTACATTTGTTTTCCACTATAGATCAGCCTTTGCTGTTGTGGAGGAATTCCCTCCTTTTCCTCCACTCGCTCCTTAATCCTCTCCACCTTAAAAAGGACAGAAACATTAGTCCAAGTGCGAGTTCTCTCTCAACAATGACAAATCAAATAAACATGGAAAGTATCCAGCTATGACTGAGTTAGGGAAGAGTCATTGGTTTGATTGTTTTCAGTGCTTTTAATCTTTAAAGCAGAACTGTGGTCTCCTACATCATCTCAAATATGTGCTACAGCATCTGTTTTTATGGTTCTCTTAGTCCCCTACAAGGTCCCACAAATATATGTTGATCCTGCCAGGGAAGTCCACCGAATGCAGCTTTGTGTGATGTGGCAACAATGTTGCACTGCTCCAGAATGCAGAGCTACCACTCATGTACTTGCACTACAGGGGGATGAGAAGATGTTACAGGGGGTGTGGCTATCAATATTATCATTGCCAATTTACCAGTTCGTAGCTTGTCAACCAGCACCTGATCATACCTAGTCCTGCCCACTACTTTCTGGATTGACACCATTACCTCTGTTGCTGAAACTCTCCTACTGTGAGCTGCAGTGTCTAGGACGGGGAGCATGTGCAACACAAATGGAGGATTTGGCTCAGTCAGGGAGGATTAAACCATGGGTAGATTTACCCGCAATAGTATTTACAGGAATCTTCCCGGACAGCATCCATATTCGAGTAGCCATCCTGGAAGATACAGGTTTTCCAGGACTGCTACTTGCATATGGATGACATCCTGGAAGATGACCATGGGAAAGAAAATTCAGATTATGAGGCTTGTGCATCACATAACTGGATTTGGTACCCATTTAGACTTCCCCCCCATATCATTTGTAGCAAACCTATGTCTTATGTTTCATATTTATTGCAGAAGTAGCATTCTTGATAGATCAGGCACTTCTTTTTTTTCTGTTAAAGCAGACCTCCAGGCAAACATCCAAATACATATATGGGAGTCACACTGTTACCTGCAAACAATGTGTATTTCTGTTCATCCAATTCTGAGATTTTCTTTATCTAGCAGGCCTAGAGACCTTATTTTTCTTTGCTGCAGTTCAGTAGAATGTAAAAAGGTCATGTATCTCCCTGGTCTGTGACTGGACAGTGAAGAAGCAACCAACTGATGAGTTGATCCTTTTGTCAATCTGCTCTCTAGATTCTATCACCATACTCCTCTTTAGCACATGAGCAAAGTAGCACAACTGACTGGCTCCTTGTGTCGTTCCTCTGTTGTATAGTGGGCTGCCCAAGGCCGATACCAATTGTAGAACCCCCAAGGGGATGCAAGGGATCCCAGAAGCAGGGTGGGCACATATTTCATCCACACTGGTCCTCAGCAATAGTGGACCAATGTAAACAGATGGGTGTCAAGTTACTGCCAGTTAACTTTTTATACACTCCAACTTAGGGCAGGGTGGCTACACAATTTAATGTTAGGTACTTGTTCTGCTTGCATTTAAAGAACGAAAAAAGAAGTATTGATGTAATAAAGCTGCACTTCAGCCTTAATTTTACAGTTATACATATTCCTCTCCTGTACTAAAATTGCTTACTCTGATTTCACTGGTATCACAATTTATACTAGAAGCAGCAAGTCAGATTGAATTCCAGCCAAAAAATGAGGTGGGTTCCATCATTGGATGTTAGTTGCTCCAAAATCACAGAGGCTCAGCATCACATGTGGGTATTACCTAGGACAGTCTGCATGCAAATACATCCTACCATGCACACCCACTGCTCCAGATTGGCATTCACCCATCAAGGCATTTTGATATTTGTATAACTCATCCCAGATACCAGAAAAGTGCTTGCATCAGGACTGGGTGCTTTGGAGAATAGTTCTGTGGCAGGGCACATTGAAAGCTATTTACACCACCCTGCTGGTCCCTCCCACCAGCCATGATCTGCCTGCATTGTATTGGGGTTGAGAGAAGGCAAAATATAAATCAGATTAAACTTTAGTTTTAATAAATGCGGAGCGTGCTCTGTCCCCATCAGGAGTCTTGCACCCCAAGGGGTCAGGGAAAGGGCCCCATCTCTTCAGGAGATTAACCATATTTTCTGCACACCCTCTGCAGGCTTAAAAAAGAAAAATGCAGAGCTACATTATTTGGGTCTCATTTCTGCCTAGAGTTTAGCTTTAAAGTGAATCAAAACCATCAATAATCAAAAAGGTGATATCTGTGGGCACCTCAGAGTGTTACATTTTGCCCCACTATTATGTTTGCTGGACCACTTAATCTGTTTGTAAACGTGCAGAAAAATAGGAAGATGTCTGAAATAAAGTATTTAGTTTATGGATTCATTTTATAATTACAGGTATGTATTAACCAGATATAATATAGGATTTATATAGCACCAACAGTTTGCACAGCGCTTTACAATATAAGGAAGACATTACAATCACAATACAATTCAAGACAAGATGGTAAGGAGGGCCCTGCCCCTGAGGGCATACAATCTAAAAGGGAGGGGCAAGTGATACATGAGGAGGTAGCTGTGTGGGGATGAATTGTTTGAGAATGTGATAGTTCAGTGGTTAGGTTGAGGTGGCAAAGGCTTCCCTGAAGAGATGAGTCTTTAGGGAATGCCTAAAGGCAGTCAGAGTGGGAGATAGACAGGTTGGGGTAAAGAGTTCCAGAGGATGGGAGCGACAATGTTTTTCATAACAGTCCTCTAGGCTGCATTTACACGTCCCCGTTTGCGCTCCCCACTAAAATCGAAACATATTTCCTTCCATCAGGGGTGCAGAATTCCTACCACCTGACGCCTAGGACATGCAGTTCCAGTGCGCCAGGCAGGTTTTTTTAAAAACTACATTTAGCCCGGCTGAGGGCAAGCAGGGCTAGATGTAGAGCAGGGGAGACGGTGCTCGTTTTGCACAAGTTATCTACAAGTGATGTACAGCCAGATAACGTGTGTGTGTGTGTGTGTGTGTGTGTGTTCAGGGTCCCCAGCAAATGGCTTCAGGCTGTAGAGCGAGGAGCAGACTGGAGAATATCCGTTCCCCGATCTGCGCTGTGTGATAAGCAACACAGGAGCGCTGTACTCACAGCATTTCCTGCCTCAGCTGTTGGGCTGCACATAGATCGTGCACAATGCTGTGCTCAATCTTCTGTATTGGAGGGCAGGCTCCATAAATTTGTATTATCTGTAACCCCTGCTGCCATTCTGAGCAGCCTTGCGCTATGGAATTTGAATTTCGCTTGCAAATTGCTAGCACTCGTTGAGAAGCACTTCATGGCTAGCTTAAAATGCGGTTTTGGCTAAAATTATTTTTGCATCATGACAAGTAGATTGTGCCCCCGCTTTAGTCACTGGACAAGTAGTTTTTAAAAAAATGTCCACACCCCTTCTACAGTATTTGAGGTTGAATAAAGACACAGGTCCATCAAGTTCAACCTTTGTGTGTATGTAGGAATGAGGACGGCATCTAATTGATTTTTGAATGATTCAATACTCTCAGCAGATAGCACTGCTTGTGGCAGAGAGTTCCAAAATGTAACCGCCCTAACTGAAAAGAATCCCCTGCACCTTTTGTGGTTAAATCTTTTCTCCACCAGTTTTAGGTGGTGGCCTCTAATCTTTGTTAGGGAGTTTACAGTAAAACATTTATTGCCGATGTTGCCATCACCACTAAACATTTTATACATCGAAATCATGTCCCCTCTTAATCTCCTCACTTCCAGCATGAACAAATTTAAAGCAACCTTGTCTCATAGCTTTGATCCTCCAACCCCTTAATTAGTTTAGTTGCCCTTCTCTGGACTCTCTACAGCTCCAGGACATCCTTTCTATGGATTGGTGACCAAAATTGAGCCGCATACTCCAGATGAGGCCGAACCAGCGATCTATAAAGTGGCAAAATGAATTCAAATTTGTCTCTACAGTACATTTCCTTTTTTAATACAAGACAGTACTCTGCTAATTGCAATGGACATGCATGTATGCTAAAAAGAGGTGCGACTACACGCTGCAGGAAAAATACTAATTTTTACATTTATTTATCTTTTGCTTGTAAAATAAAATTCATTAGTGTAAACCCAAAACATACCTTGTCAGTTGGCTCAATATCAATTTCGATCTCTTTCCCAGTCAGTGTCTGCAATTTAAAAAAAAAAAGAAAAGTCGTTAGCAAATCGTATTAAACAGTAGATTTTAACAATGTTTTAACAAAGTGTTACCCCCCTCTGACGGTGTCACCGGCTGCAGGCTACACCCCCCTTGCGATGCCACTCTGACTCCATCAGGTCACTGACCTGGGCTATGAAGTAATACAGAGGCTAGCTGCACACCTTACAGCTCTCTGACTGAAAGTAATCGATTGGGTGCTCAAAGTGACACTACAGATAGCACCATGCAATTACTCAGCAGTGTAGAGATAGGTCACCAGCACCAGGGTCCCTATATCAGGGTAACAGTGTCATCCTGATAAAGGGACCCTGTGCAGCCCAAAAATGTTGGCATTCTAGCCCATGTGATGAATTCTTCAATAAAGCAACTGCTAATTGCACATTAACAGAGTGCTGGTGGCCTATCTCTACACTGACTTGGACCAAGCAAGTAGCCAGTGATATCAAAGTCTGACTACCTGTCCTGTATGCTTGTTATAGGTGATGCCTGGAGCCTGAACCTTGAGGCCAGAGTCACACCTGGGCGATCCATAACCACACAGCAATCATGCATGAAACCACACAGATGACCACACAGTCACAGAATCACACACCATCACCGATCGTGCTGGCATTGCCATTATAGTCTGATGACACCCCAGTCGCACCAGACATACCGCACGGTTTGCCACTGCAATACCACTCATGCAATCACCCACGATTGCCTAGTCCCAGGACAAGTGGCCCCAGATCGCTGATATGCAAACCTACTCAAGCCACTACACCTATACATTGTGGGAACACATACATTAACATGTGTTACTGCAATGCACATTACATACATTGACACACTGCACTGCCATTTTGAATAACATCCCATTGCACTAAGGCAACACACATGCACTGCAATACACCACAAAAAAATTTCTGAAATGGATTTCAATGGTCTGCTTTAATTAAAACATACATTTACATGTGCCATGGTGTACACAAATGTAAATAAGCCGTCAAAAACAAGGCCAGCAATGGCAGCTGCCATACTGCTACACCCTTTAGGACTCCTTTCAGGATTTCTAGCTTGCAGACTCTATACAGGGCCGGATGATACTCACTGACTGACTGCCTCTATTGTCTTATGTAAAAGTAGCGTAGGGGTGACAGGGCCTCTTTCTAGACTGCCCAGACAACAAACAATGAAGGTGCATTAACCCGTTAAGCGTCTCCCTGGTATACAATGATGTATGATGAGCGGAAGGTATCAGGAAAAAAGCGAGCTCCCATAATCCCCCGACATACTCCTTGCCCTACTATGGCTCCGAGCACCGCTCACCCCGGTACCGGGGACTCACCTTCACTTTAATCAGCATGTTGCCGGTATGTGTCTCGCTCTCCCCGCCTCTCAGTTTCAGCACAGCGCAGGATGCCCCTACTCACTTCCGGCGCGGCGGGGAACTAAATAGGAAGTGGCCGCTGACAGGACACGTGACGTCACAGCGCCTTCCCTCAGCCATACAGAAAGTGTTGTCATACAGAAGGTGTGTATGGGGTGTCACGATAATTCTGGTAGTCGATGGCTACTGCTATTAGTCTCTGCTTCACTAGCATCTACAGGGGGTTACTGGCCAGACTGCGTGCTGCGTTTGTATTGTAGAGGTCACTTGTGTCGCCTGTCATCCCCGGAGTCACGTGCTCTTCTCTGCTGTGCTGCTGTCACTGCAATTTATATTCACCAAAACTGTACAGGGTGTGTTCTACCTCCACAGTACAATCTATTTATATGCAGTCAGGTAGGCGACATAGTTGTGGTGGCTCTGAAGGTGACTGCACAATCAGATGGTAATGTGTGGAGCCAGCTTTGAAGGGAAGTTTTAAAACTATCCTTGCAGCGGGGTTGCCCCTGCACAGCAAGGGTTAAAGTGACACTAAACTCAGGAGGTAAATGTTAAAAACACGTTCAGGTACCCTAACTATGAACACAATTGTATCTTATTTGTGTATCACTTGGCTGTAGATCCTCAAATCATCTCTGAATTGGTGCTGACAGTGTCCTTCCTTCTGGAGGGGGGCTACTTTTGTTTCCCATGATCCCTGTGTGTTGTAAGGTAGCCACCGCTCCAAGCTCGCTCCTGTGATGGACTTTCAATCTCTGTTTAGTTGAGATTGTCCAGAAGGACAGTGTCCGTATGAGAGAGATCAGAGATGATTTGAGGATCTACAGCCGAGTGATACACAAAAAAGATACATTTTTGTTAATAGTTAAGGTACTTGAATGTATTTTTAAGATTTAACTCCTGAGTTTAGTGTCACTTTTAAATGCTCATTTTTTTTAACCTCGGGTACAAATAAAAAGCATTTTTATTCACCTTATCCCTTGCTCCTCTGGAAGCTGGTGCTCTCCTCTTTTCTCTGACGCTCCAGGTTGTGGGTGTGTCCTCAGCACCCTCACATAGGATCTGGTCTGCAGCGACATGAGAGTGCGACTGACAGAGTGCAGAAGAGAAGTGGACCTGTCTCACAGAAAAGAGGAAGCCTAGGGGAGAGAGGAATCAGGAAGGAAAACTAAATTTTAATGGTACCCTAGATACAAAGTGTACTTTAAAACAAATTGAAATTATGCGTTTTGCTTCATTCCCCTGAATCAACAGATACCACCCTCCCCTTCCTGGAGCCGACACCAGTGTCCTACGGAGATTGTTTACATTCCTCACCGCAAATCCTCTCTTACCTGGCTGTGCCTGTACAGCAGATCCTTGTAGACCTTTTCCAACAAACTAGAATAGGGTTAGAACCTTTGTCAGGTTCTTATTATTTTGCTGTCTGCATGTAGTTGGGGAGATTTTCCCCCACTTACTGTCCTGGAGAGCATTTCCTCTCTTAGACAGTTGTCACCGGAAGAGGTGTCCCCATTGAAGAATTTATTCAATATCTCTGCTCTGGTGACACTGGTAACATTTTGGATTTATCGCTTTTTGTCCTAGTGGCAATGGTGTTCAGGACAAACAGAGAGGGGGAATCTCTCCAGTGGGGACACAGACAACAATAAGGGCCCTGTCTCACACCATCAAGAGTGTGTTCCAGTACGTTTGGCCTCTGGAACGCAACCCGACTAGCTCACTCTGTTTTGGGGTGGGAGGGGGCATGGCGGTGCATTGAACTCAATGGCACCGCAGCCACGCCCCCCTCTCGCGGTGCGATCGCTGGCACCCGAACGCGTGGCACATTAGTGCCTGCGTTTCGGTCCAGTGCGATCTGCAAAAAATGCTGCATGCACTATTTTTTGCAGATAGTACTGGAGCTGAACGCAGGCAGTAATGTGCCACATGTTCGGGTGCCGGCAATCACGCCGCGGGCGAAGGGCGTGGCTGCGGAGCTATTGAATGCAATGCACCGCCACGCCCCCTCCCGCCCCAAAACAAAGTGAGCCGGCCGGGTTGCATTCCAGTGCGTTCCAGGGGCCGAACGCATTGGAACGCACTCTTGATGGTGTGACAGGGTCCTAATAGTCTGACAGGTGCTACCCGTCTTCCTGGGTGACCCTCAGCTTTATCTGTCTTTCACTGTTTTCAAGGTGACGTACTGGTTCTGTCGCTCATTGTTTATATTCTTTTTGTTATCTGTCATTCCTCTATATTATTTTCTTTATGTGACATTATCCTAGTGAATCTCACCGTTGTCCTCTATAGCAGTCCCTCTTAAACGGGGTGCTTTCTAATTTTTGCACAGTGTCATGCATTTCCATGGTGCAGGCAAGCCGGCCACCAGCACCATGGAAAGCATCGTGCTTGTCCAGGGTGGGCTGTATCTAGGACCTCCCCAGCATTCAGAAGAGAACAGAAGTGAAGGGGGCTTCTGATATGAAGAGGAGAACTCCACACTGTTTTTTGTTTTTGTGTGGGGTCCCCCTTAAAATCCATATAGATTTTGGGGTGAACCACATGTCATTAGGTACATTTACATGTTTATTTTTACATTTGATACTGGGGTGCCTCGAGATTCTGCATATTTTTAAAGGGAGCTGTGACTGAAAAAAGGCTACAAAATGCTGCTCTATAGGACTTACTGCAATGTCTTTCCACAATCTCTGTCAAAATCTGAAGCAGGCCATACACTTGGTTCTTTTTTCATTTAACACCAAGGGCTAAAAAGTTTTTGGAGCAGCTCCTTTGACAAGAGTCATTTGAAAGATCGACTCAGTGCCATAGGAGCCACACACTTCGAATTTGGAGAATTGAACAGTATATGGCCAGCTTAAGGCTAGTTCACAGCACGATGTACTGGGTTAGAAACACACCTCGATGTATAAAAATGTAGTGCGTGCTACATTTTATTTTCAAGCACACTTCAGCACACCTTCTGGCGGTTGCCTTGGGGTGCCCTGTCGTGCATTGGGGTGCCATTCAAAACTGAATTGCACTGCACAAGCCCTTAAGCTGCATAGTTATAAACAACTGCATAGTATGAATGTCTGCTTAAATTGTCTGTCAGCTTTTATTTAAAAGAAGCAGTATTACATTATTGGATTGTATTTTATGTTTCTATCCTTCCCACAATGAGAGAATTTAAGGAGATGGAGTTGGAATGATGGAACAGATGCGTTGTAAAGTAATTGGGTGTTACTATTCTGAGGTGTTTTTTACTTCTATGAGGCATCAGGAGATAAAGGGTAAAAAGTGCACATGACCTTTATAATTTGAGGCCCATCCCATGTGGTGAGTGAGCCTTTGAAGGTGGTGGATAACACAGTTGGAGCACATTCGATGGAGATTTCAGAACACATGAGGTGTTGTGGATTATTTTAGGCTTTAAGGTGGTGGATCCATTTCCATGGAAATTTTTTAAATGTATGAATGAAACACAATTACACAAAATGTGGACTTTGCAACATTGTTTCTATTATTTGTAGCACATATTTGTTATTTAGTGCTGGTTAATTTGTGAAGATAATAATACATGCACATTTCCCAGTGTTTTACCCCTTTACAAAAGCAATAACATATAGCAAAATACGTATTGGTCAGACAAAAATCCAGCAAGCTAACTTTCTGTATGAGCTAACAACATACTGCCTTTGCTTTGCATTATTCACAAGCAGTGTTATGAGCCCTGTCTGGTTCTTTCCTGCTGGGCTATTGACCCCCCCCCCCTTCTTCATAAA